CCCCGTTGTTTCCCAATTGCGCCGTCAAGCTGTACGTATATAAAAGCAGAAGATTGTTGTGGCCGAGGGCTTCCGTTTTATCGTGGCGGGTCAATTGAGAGAGAGATACCTCCTCCTCTTGTTCCCCGACGAAAAACCGCAATCCAATTGGATGTTTTTCAAAAACCCTCGTCACGGAAGCGCTAGAAACCGATCAAAATGCCACAGACATTTGTCAAGTCTCTTAGTTGGTGGAGAAGTTGTCGCCGAGGGTGACGTCGAGGTGGCCGGTGTAGTAGCCCTTGCAGCCGACACCGTCCTCGGCCTCCATGCCGGACATGTAGGCGCCCTCGTTGGTGCCGTCGGACTTGACCCACGAGCAGGTCTTGTCGTTGGCGACGACCTTCATGCCGTAGTAGCTCATGCTGGAAGCAGCAGCGACGAGGACGGAGGCGTCAGCGCCGGAGTTGCCGCCGTTGGGGGTGGAGCCCCAGTCGAACTCGAGCCAGGTGCCGGCGAACTGGCCGATGAAGGTCTTGGGGACCTCGGAGCCGGGGCCGCACGCACACGAACCCTGGGAGTCGGCCTCGAAGGCGACGTGCTTGTCGGCGCCCTCCTTGACGGTGAAGGTGATGGCGGCGAACCAGGCGCCGTCGATCAGGCCCTTGGGGCCGATCTTGTTGAAGCAGGAGCAGGTGAAGCTGTCCTTGGAGGAGGTGAAGGTGGTGGTGTAGTTGTACAGGCTCAGGGCGTTCTCGTCGATGATCTGCATGTTGCAGCCCCAGTCGCCGTCGGCGCCGGTGTTGCCGGAGTAGGCGATCTGCTCGATGGTGGCGCGCTTGGTCTTGCCGGAGCAGAAGGGGGTGTAGACGCCGGTGCCGGAGGAGGAGCCGGAGGAGGTGGCGGCAGGGGCGGCGGAGGAGGTGGTGGAGGACGCGGCGGGGGCGACGTTCTTGATGAAGGTCGCGTCGCGCTCCTGGACGGCGTCGACGGTGCGGCGCTCGTGGAAGTGCTGGTGGCCGTGGAGGGAGGGGTGGGCGGAGGCGGCGGCCGCGAGGAGGACGAGGTTGTTGATGAGCTGCATCTTGAAGGATGTTTTTACCGTTGCGTGTTTCGGGAGGATGTCGTCGTGAGAAGGAGAGTCGTCAACTCGTGAACGCTAGATAGTATGTATTGGGAAGGTAAAAATGGCTTGGCTTGGATTTTTTGCTTTTGATACCCGTCCGAAAAGAGTGACAGCGATTTGACTCGCGGAGTTGTGGACGATGGTGGTTGAAGGAGAGGGAGCGTGAAGCAAGGAGGGAAACCGGGATGGGGGCAGAGTGAAAAAGGGAGGGAGGTGAGGCCCATTTTGAAGGGAAGGAAACAAATCTCATTAGATCGCAGCGCACTCTGAGTCTGGCTGTCTCTGGCGGCCCCCCGTCCATGTTCCTCCTTGGATGTGGGTGTTAACGAGCAACATGGACAGACAGGGGTGGACAGGCGCATCGACAGGGGCGTCGTCACCAAGGAGGCGCGTCCAGCTCTATCGTGTGCCGTCCAACAGCCCATCACGGCTCGTCGATAACCCTGTCTAGTCAGGAACAGACTCCTAAAGAGGCAAGGCGGGCCCAGGAAGTCATGACCGAGAGGAGGGCCAGCCGACGTGGTGGGCGTCTTTTTTGGTTCCAGGGCTTGAGAAGGTGAGGGCCACACACACACGCACCGCGGAACCAAGACACACGGGGCCACAGGGGAGGGGTGTGATGTGGAGATGTTCCAATGGGCGGTCCAGCTCTGCTGCCAGTTGTTCCAGCCGAGAAGACAGAGAGAGGAGGTGACAGTCAATGGTGGAGAGTGACAAAGTGACCAGCTGGGACTCTGGGATGGATCATGGAGGAGGGAGGGTGCACCGCCGGACGCCCAGGGCCAGGAGCAGGATTGGACGGTGTGTTGACGGTGATGCGGGAAAAGGGGGTGGGGAAGGTAATTTCACCGCACGCCAAAGCTTGGCCACGGATCGAGTCCAAGCTGCTCCCCGGGCATTTCCCAGCTGGGCGCCTTTGGGAAACAGATTACTGCGACTCTGTAATACCGCCTATTCGCGCAGCGGCCTGCCAATTGGCATCTTGGGAACTGAAAAGTTGGACACACAACCAGAACCTGGATGTATGTACATGTCCAGTTTTTGTGTGTGAGTGGGATGGATGGATGGATGGACTTCGGATGGAGAAGAGCAGCATGACGATCCGGGCGCCAACGAGGAACTCACACAAGCAAAAAAACCACGCGTTGGCCCTGCGTCAGTCGTGCAGCACTGGGAAAAAAGGTACTTTGGAAAAAAGGTACTTTGGCGGCTGTTGAAGTTTGTGCGCAACCAAGCAATGTGTAGCTCTGGCCGTACATACTGGGAGCGATGTACCTGGCATTACGGTAGTGCAGGTAAACACCGCGCTGGACGAATGGAACACACAACATTGAACCCGTCAAGGCCCGTCGGCTCCAATTGCGTCCAGTGAGAGTCCAGTCCGCCCCGTGGATCCCAAGCAAATGCCGGCAGCAAGCGCCGCCGCCAGGTACACCCGCTCGTTGGCGCGTGTTGTCGTGAGGGGGAAGCGTGGGAAGAGCAGCCACGGGGGGTCTGGAACCTTGGATTGGGGACTTGGACCCGGAACTGGACCTGCAACGACGAACTCTTGTTGGACGCCGCTCAGGAACAACTCACGCATATGGGTACAGCACCAGCAGTGACACACTCACACACTGACGCTCACCACTCACACAACCTCTCTGGCTCTTGAAGCTACATAAAGTCAACCTAACGTGAGGTAGGGCATCCACCATACCGTCAGTGGGTTTCGATGGTGATCCCGTTCCGTTGCCGTACCGCAGTGACACACACCAACGAGAAGAAAAGAACTCGTCGACGATTCAGGTTTCTCGAAAAAGTCCTTCACAGGAAGAAAATTCTCACAAAAAATAACGCCCCTTCCAAGCTTACGGTGGAGATCCGGTGGAGGCACACACGTCCCGAGGTTGCATAAAGTTAAATCTCTCACCACGGAACCCGTCAAGCACAACCGCAACCACACACCCGGCTCCCCAAAGTCGAAGTCCTACGGGAGAATCGTCGTCACTGTTCGCCCTCCATGACGTTGTCTCACAAGCAGCAGCCTTGATGGTGGGCTCGTTCTTGCCAGCTTGGACACCTCCTCACTGTCAAATCAACCATCAACATGTTGTCAGCATGCATATTCTAGCCCCCGAAATACCCCTCTCGAGCCCCGCGAGAGGACTGTCCACGACGGAATACCGAAGCCATCCGACCGAGTTACTTGCACTCACTCATGCAAGCCAGCATGAACACAGTCAAATCGTCCGATGGGGAAACCGGATGACAGCCCAGTGACGGACGCCTTGTTGAGAAGCTGCTGCTTGCTGCATTGGGTTCTGGAGATTAAGCCAATCCATCAATCAAGGCGGTCAACCATGTGAAGTCCACCTGGCATACAGCGTTGCTGTCTAGGCATTGGACAGATGGGGGGGTATCCCGTCAACCCATCTCGGTATTGCTCCTCGTTTACTTTATTATACCGCCAACATGCTGGACGAACATCACGGCAGCGCCTCGCAGCTCATTTACTGAGCTTCGTACTCGCTGCGGTGTGCTCCGTTTTCATGCCAGCTCCATCTGCCTCTCCCGACCGGCCCCCATGATCCGATCCAAGGTGCCGCTGCCGCTCAACGGCCCGTACGCGGCCGGGGGTTCGCTGGCACTGGCAACTGGGCTGGCGAAAGGGGGCGAGGCTTCTGGATCTGCTCCCAGCTGGTTCCAGGGCAGAGGCGACGGGTACGGAGGGCCGGTCCCACCCGGGTGTGGGAACACAATCACCACTTTTCTGCTCGCCCTTTGCTGGTTCTTCCAATTCCCCCTTCTTTCCAAGCTGGCAGGTAATTCAGCGATACGTCGGATTCTCCACTAGGCGGTGCAGGAGAAGGAGGAGGAAGAGGAAGCAGAGACCAGTGGCGATCCCGGAACGCGTCATAGGCCTCGTCAGGGCAAGGAAGCGGAGCTACTGCCGGTCTCAGGGAACGGTGGTTTTGCCATGTTTCTCCCTCGACGGAGGCCCTTGACTCCTTAAAACCGTCTGGTCTTTTTAGGCTTGTGAACGAACGCCTGGGGGCTTTAGGGGGCACGGGGGGTTGTATCGCACAAGCGCTGGACAAGCTTATTGCTGTTTACCGCAAGAAACAAAAAGTTCAGACGACCTCACGAAAAAGAAGAATCTGGCAAACAAACATTCAGGCTGCGTGAGAAACAGAAAACACACACAAGAATTTGAAAGGCCGCATCTGGGCTATGGCGTACCGGTAGCTGCATGTGGGATGCACCCGGATAGCGGATGATAGGGCCTGGATGATTGATTGAAGTGATTGATTGATTTGTTTGCCTCTAAGAATAGCGTTTCTGTTTTTATTGTGCTTTGCCATCTCGCCCATCCGCCCGTAGTGCATGTGCCAGGGAACGCCATGTTCAGCGCAGCATCGGCTACCTACCACTGGTCATCAATGGCACGCGGCCGGGCTTGTTGCCCCGGCAGGGCAGGAGGAACGCAAGCGCACTAACGTAGGAAATGCCCGTTCCTGAAGATCACTCTTCGCTGCATTGAGCGATCACCCGCTGGATCGAGAGGCTCAGCAGCGTTGCTTGGATGCTTGGATGGGGCGGATGCTTCTTTTGTTTTTTTGCTGGTTTAATTTGGGGTGATTTGCGGGATCCAGAAACTATTGCTGGCCGGACGGGGGCCTAGGAGGCGTTCTAGAATTGCTGATCTTGGCATTGGATGACTGGCGCAGAGCGCTCTATGCAGCCGCCGCTGCGGCGTCAATTTGCGCTATTGGGGGAGACGAGATGATCAGCGAGCGCGCTGAAGGTCCGACTTGAATTGTCAAATCGATGATCAGAGTTGTGAGAGGAGCATGGAAACATGATAGGTAGCAAATTTGGCAACCCTAACATCAGTCAGATATCTGGCTAACCTGCCCTGATGGTCTAGCGGTATGATTCTCCCTTAGGGTTGACACATGTTGGCACGCATGGGAGAGGTCCCAGGTTCGATCCCTGGTTAGGGCCCAACTTTTTTGTTAAATCAACTGCCTTTTTATTGACTTTCAACATCGAGCGCTTGATTGATTTAGTTTCCAACTTGGTTGCGGGCAAGTCTAGATTTCGCCGCGATGTTTTTTTCGTAAAGAGTGATGAGTGTAAGTAAGTAGATATCTTATGAGAGACCTGATCACCTCTTGTAACACCCTGATTCCCTCGACGGTCAGTAGTCACGGCATTTTGGAACAACCGCGTGAGCACACATTGGTTCTCGCGATGAGAATTGGGACAAAATGCCATCCGCGTTTCATGGTTCCCTTCAATTCAGAGCAGCCCAAGTAAATCTTCCTCCCTTCTGTGCGACAGGAACATGATGTTCAAGACCACCGTTACAAGAATAGCTCTCAGATCCAGCATCAACTCCTACACAGCCACAGAAGGAACTGTCTTCGTCGGGCCCAGAGACATATCCCATCATGCGCCTCAACAGACATCAGAGCAGATGATCCCTTCAGAGACTCTCCTGTATCAAAAAAAGACAAGCTGATTCGGACTTTCTCGGCTGACGGCAATTATGGGTCTGCATTCCGATTGCCGCTCAACCGTGTCTTAGACACGGGCAGTTGAAGACATTCTCATTTAGATAGGGGGACGGCTTGGGTCTTGGCGAGAGGGGCAGCGCCGTTGACGTCTTCTTTGCGTGATGCCCTCTGGTTCTGTTTAGTCGATAATCTGTAGACTCATTCACAGTGGGTCCTTTCTAGTGTCTGATATTCGTACTGATTGGACCTGATGCTAAACATAACCGGAGTTTTTGGGCTGCCATGGTTCAAGCAAACCGTCGCGAAAAGATCGTTAACTACTGCTCTATTAATGCAGTCTACTCATCGTGGATAGGATCGACCTAATCTTTGGCTCACATGTATTGATGGATCTTGCTTAACCAAAGTGGTCTCTTCCGTTGATGGTTTCCCGCAGCAGGTTATCGCCTGCTGGTACGCCTTTCAATTTCCTTATGACGGGAAAAAGGCTTATGAGAGCGTTGATTGTTTATTCAGTTAGTTGTATAAGTGTGATCTAAACTTCAGCTCATTGCCACATTGCTTGCAAATGTTTGTTCGAGACTCCATGGACTCCTCAGATAATTCAGTTTTTTCTGTATAGTACAACATACGCAACTAGTGGGAGCAGCTTAAACTAGCTATGTCAAGTTTTATGATTATGATGGCATTAAGGAATTTCCCACGATTGAAAAATGTTACTTGAAAACCAAACATGATGAACATGGCTAGATAAGTATTGAATACATAGCAAGATCCAACAAGCGGCCTGGGTGAACTTCTTAATCCGAAGTAACGTCTCTAACATAAAGCACCTTATCCAAACAAACCGTCGTTGTGACCTGCTTGGCTTACCAATCCAGGACAGAGGTTTTACCTAGTAAGAACAGTAACCATTCGACCGTTTATGTGCCTTAGCATGCGCCTGTACCCTCGGGTAAAGAGTAGTTGTTCTAATTCCGATCCTCGCTCAATCTTGCCGCCTGTATCGTCTACTGGAGTCCTTCCAGCATTGTCGCGAGATTCCGGATCTGCACCTTCTTCCAAAAGCACTGTGAATGCCTTCATATCCTTTGTCTTTGCCGCATAATGAAGTGGAGTCTGTCCGTATTGGTCTCGTTTCGATACTGCGAGGTGCTTTTCTTGCCTGGAAAGTGCTGACAATAGTCTTCGCACCCATATGACAGACGACTTCCTGGCTGCATAGTGCATTGGCGTCCTTCCTTGTCTATCTGTCAAGCAGATGAAGTCTAGGGACTTTCTCATTACCTCGAAGGCTTCCATGTCATATGACTCATATTCTACGAGCGTATGCAAGAGTGTTTTCCCGTCCAAGTCTTGGTCTTGTGTGCGAGCACCCAGCCGTATGAGGGGCCTGATACCCAATTTGTTTTTGATTCTATGGTGTATGGGAGTCATTCCTAGCGCATCTGTAGCGTTGATGTCTGCTTGGTTCTGCAGGAGCAACTGTAACACTGAGATATTGGGTTTCTGTGACGCGATGTGGACAGCTAACTCTCCTCTCGCATTGGTCGCGTCGACGTCTGCACCTGAAGCCAGTAATAGACACAATATGCCGACATTTTGACTTTGAACTGCGAGATGAAGTGCAGTTTGATGCGAGTCATCTCGAGCATCAATCCATGCCGAGGCATCATTTGCCAGCAACATTTCCACAGCAACTGCATTGCCACGGTTCACGGCGACGTGAAGTAGCGATCGGCCCTGATGATCACGTTTACCCAGCATAGATATTTGGTTTTTTCTCATGAACAGCTGCAGAAAGCGTCTGGTCAAGACTTCTGCATCTGGGGCCAGTAACCTTAATGCTACGTGGCATGCTGTTTCGTTTTCGCGATTCTGGAGTTCGACATTGGCATTGTTTTCGACCAGGAAATGGGCCACATCAAAGGCTCCTTCGAGAGCTGCGTAATGCAAAGCTGAGTCGCCACGCGCATCTTGTGAATTGACATCAGAACCCAGACTAAAAATGAAAGAAAGCGAGAGAAACATCCGGTGGTGAGCAAGTAGATGAACCGGGCTAGTACCGTCTATCGGGGGCGCCGTCGAATAAGTCGCATCCCGAGTCGCAACGGCTAACCACATTTTCCAGAAGGCTTGTTGTGTGTCTGCAAGCCGTCGAAGGATGTTTTCTGCGACTTTCCCGCTGTGGTCCACTTGTTTTGTATGATAGAACAGCCCCGAAGGAGCTTGTCTGAGGAAGGGAAGGTCTTCGTGTCTTTCATGGTTCATCAAGCCTTGATTCGTCTCAATATACGAGTGGCACTGAATAATACACGCCATGCAGTACTCGGCTAGTATTTCGTGTCTTTCAGCAAGCGTAGGTTGGCGGTTGTTGGATTTCAGCAGGGAGAATCCGTTCCCTTGTAGAAGAAACTCGCGAACAGTCTCGTGAATGAATTGAACAGATGACCATTCTTGAACATGTGTTTGTTGTTGTTCTGGAGTTGTGGTTTCAACTGTCACGTCTGGTTCTGGCCAGCAGTCCATGACATCAGCCTCCTGGTCAGAATTCCTGCGGGCCGGGGCTGACATAACCGTTGGTGTCAACGATCCCAACAAGAAAAGCATTTCTTCCGTGAGAGATTCTGATGAATGTAGCGAAGAATCCGTTCGTGAGTCGCCTGAGGCTTGCTCGGAGTTCTCCGTTGACGCCTCAGCAGCCTCCGGGTCAGAATTTCTGCGTGTGCGGGCCCGGGCTAAATCTAACATTGATCTCAACTTGGAAATCTTTTCTTCTATGGTAGGTTCTGATGAACGTGGTGGAGAATTCGTTCGTAAGGCGCCTGAGGCTTGCTCGGATTTCTCCGTTGACGCTTCAGCAGCCTTTGGGAGGTGGTGTAACTGGGCGATTTCCACAAGACCCATTGTGTAGGATCGTATTTGCTTTAGGAAACCTCGAGGACATTTATCTAGACAGTCTGGGGAGTGAGACCAATGACTGAAAGGAGCATCCGGGGGGAAAGCAGCGTCAAGGTTGTGGCTAACCGTCAAAATATGCCGTAGTTCGTCCATATCCAGCGGGCGATGGGACAACAGCACCCATTGGAAAATCGATTCAGCTTTCCGGACGTGATTTCTGCCCATCTTGTCGTGGAGAATTCCCTCGAAAAGCTGTTCTAGCTCAGAAGGCAAGTCATTCAAGGCTTCTTCCAAGTCTGACTCAGTCATTTGGTTGTCTAAACCCGACATGAGCTTCCCGACTACCAATGTAACCCATATGAAGACACCGTTGGCTTTGTCTGCAATGATTCCAGCAAGATTGCCCAGCCTTTCGTTGTTCACTGTTTTAGAAAGCGCGGTGTGAACGGAACGCACGATGTCACCCTTGTTGAAGTCCTCCATGACAATCTGATTACAGCCAGGGACTTCGACGTTCGGATAATGACGACTTGCCAAACACACCTTCAGGTTTCCTGCTGCGGCAATGTCTCGGAAGAAATGAACAATATCTCGGGTGATGCGATATGCGTTATCGCTGCTCCCCGGACTGCTTTCGTCGAGCGCGTCTATCAATATCACGGCCTTCTTGATGGCCGGATACTCCCCCGAGTATGCCAGCCTGAAAAAGTTTCGGAGATCTTCTTCGTTCCATTTCCATCGACCAGCATTCGCTGCGCATTTAGATTTGTACACAGGAACAAAAGCAGAGAGAAGAGCCTGGTCTTGTTCGATGAGACCGTATAGCAAAGACCTGAACAGCCCCAACACGGAGTTTTGTAGCATTACGTTGCTCCTTGCTGTGAAGAAGAAGCTGGCCACCGAAATTGATGATGGTAGTCCAACTGAATTCAGATGACTTAAAGTCTTCTTCATCAGCGTCGATTTTCCACAACCTGGCTTGCCTTTGATCCAAAGGAGGTTTCGATGGCTGGGCTCTGGTGACCACAGCCGCCAACTAATGTAATTTTCGTGATGCAGGAGCCACGTAGCCGTATTGATCGCAGCGTTAGCGATAGCATCTTCTCGGTCACGTAGCTGTTCGAAGTATAAAGAATTCAGACATTCCTCCCGAGATTGTAGGTTTATGGCTCTGACATGGTCGACGGAAGACTTCAAGGTTTCGGAGAGTCGAACATAGCCATACTCGCGGGCACTCTCAAATTGACAAAAACCTCTTGTGCTTTTTGGAATTTTTTCAAGTCCGAAATTTGACGTTTTCGATGCTGGGAGCTTTTCAGGCCTGTTGAATGCGCGAGCCTGCACTGAAATGGGAAGCTTCCCAGCTGAGATTTCCGAGAACTCCGTGAACCGTATGTCATAGATGTCCTGCAGTAATCGGAAAGATTCATCGCCTCATGAGACATCTGGTTCTGATGAGAATGTTGATCTGAAGGTGTGATTTCTTGGGCATCGACGAAACTGTTCCAAATTGCCCTCCACGAGATCACTTTCAGCTACACCGCAACGTAGAGAGATGATTGCTGTAGTACAACTGATGATGTC